TGTGATTATTATGTTAAATAAGAATATTTTTAAGGAGTATGGAATATATTGCCATATTAAAAGAGTGTCATCCATTCAAATGTCTAAAGAAATAAATGGGTATATGTTTATATAACTCCCGGAATTGTATTTATCATTGGTTTATTATTAATTTTAATTTTTAGTAATTTAATAAATAAAAATGAAATGATGTCATTTTGTTTTACATACCTTCAGAAACTATTAAACTTGTTTTAAAAAATAATTAATTGACTTTATTTCTTAGATTCTAGTTTTACATGAAAATTGAACAGAAAATACGGAAAGTTTCTACATATTTTTTACCTTGCCAACAGTTACCCCTATTATTTTTTGAAGGATATGTTGAGGATATTTTTTTAATTTTAATTCCAATATAGTTAACGTACAGGGTTATATTAGTTTCAGGTGTTCAATATAGTGATTCAACAACTCCATACATCACCCGGTGCTCATCACCAGTGCTGTCCTTAATCCCCAACACCTACTTCACCCATTCCCTCACCCACCTCCCCTCTGGTAACAATCACTCTGTTCTCCATAGTTAAGGGTCTTTTCTTGGTTTCTCTTTCTCTCTCCTCTTTTTTTTTCCCCATTGCTTGTTTTGTTTCTTAAATTCTACATGTGAGTGAAATCATATGGTATCTGTTTTTCTCTGACTGATTTCACTTAGCATTATACACTTTAGTTCCATCCATGCCATTACAAATAGCCAGATTTCATTCTTTTTTTATGGCTGAATAATATTCCATTATATATGATTTCATTATATATATGATATGTATCATCTTCTTTTTCCATTCATCAATTGATGGATACTTGGGCTGCTTCCATATATTGGCCATTGTAAATAATGCTGCTATAAACATAGGGGTGCGGGGATCCCTTTGAATTGGTATTTTTGTATGCTTTGGGTAAATACCCAGTAGTACTATTGCTGGATCGTAGGGCAGTTGTATTTTTAACGTTTTGAGGAAACTCCATACCATTTTCCCCAGTGGCTGCATCAGTTTGCATTCCCACCAACAGTGCAAGAGAGCTGCCTTTATTTTTAATATTTTGTATTGATGTGGTACTTTTGTTACAACTGATAAACCAATAGGGATGCATTATTATTATTAAGTTGCTAATTTACATTACTGTTCATTCCCTCTGAGTTTTGCCAAATGCATAAGGACATGTATCCACCATTATCTTATAATACAGAATAGTTGCCCTAAAAATTCCCTGTGTTTCACTTCTCTCTCCTCCCTCTAACCTCTGCCAACCACTGATCTTTTACTCTCTTGCTATAATTTTGCCTTTTCCAGAATGTCATATAGTTGGAATCACAACAGTAGATAGACTTTCAGACTGGCTTTTTTCACTTTAAGATTTTCTTTTTTAATTAAATAAAAATTCTCAAATTAGGTTTATGACATTTTATCTTCTGTTTTTATCAGTTGATACTTTTTACTTTTTTGAGATTTCAGTTGGTTCTTTTATTATTATTATTATTTTGTTAGTATCATTTACATAGTTGGATTTTCAATATTTTTTTCTGTTTTGTCACTAATGATGAGAACACAAATTTTATAATAGTATAATGTGTTTAAAGTTTTTGAGTACCTCTTACTGGTTTCAAATTGCTAATTATTCATGTAATTCAGACATGATGAAAATGCCGTGTGAATAAATTTTATCTTAACTATTTTACTTTAGAATGTAATAGCATAAAATGCAGTCAAAAATGTCAGAAATAAAATTCAAACCACCTATTTCAATAGCTACAGATTATCATTATAAATATTTTTAGAGATATTCTTTCTTAATATTAAGCATTTTTATTGTAATTAGGATTGGTTTTCCTTAACAGCCTTTCCTACGTAATTTTCTCAATAATATTGAATTAGGTATTTTAAATAATTTTATTGATATAGTAAGTACATACCATAAAATTCACCCATTTTAAGTGCACAATTAAATAGTTTGTAGTAAATTTACCAGTCACCAACATTTGGTTTTAGAACATCCATCAACACAGGTGAGAGTTTACAATTAATCCTGTCTTGCAGTTTTACCTCCAGGCAACCACTAATCTACTTTGTCTCTCCCTTTCTGAACATTTCATATTTATTGAATTATGCAGTATATGCTATTTCCTGTCTTTTTTCACTTGTTGTAATATCTCAGAGGTTAGTCCATACAGCAACATATATTAATATTCCATTCATTTTTATTGCAAGTAGCATTCCTTGTATAGACATATGACAATTGTGTTTATCCATTCACCATTTGGATTATTGTGGGGGGGTTTGTTTTGTTTTGTTTTTGCTATTATGATAAACGCTTGCTATGATCATTTAATTATCTTTGTACAAGTTTTTGTACAGTGAAGTATAAATTGGATTTTGGTAAAATAAATAAAGACTTCACTGTTAAGACAATTTTAACAATGGTGATTATACATAGTAAATTATGGCTAATTCAGTTATTTATTAATGGGCTTGAATGTTCTACTATGTGACTAGGAAGCCAACTCAAAAATATTTTATTAACTGTGCATCTTTGTGGATAAGAAATGATGTATTATTTTCTCAAGAATCAAGAAAAAGACTGAAAATATTTTCTTTCCTTAAGAATTTTTGTGAGGGAGAAGTTTACAAACTATAAGAAGTAACATTTTGTAAACTTTTCATTTTCACCCTGTGAGAGTATCTACTTGTCAATTTCTGTAAGGCAACACTCCCTAATCCATCAAAACAAGGTGGGAGAGATAAAAGAAAAATACAAAAATACGTTTTCTTGCCTTTGCTTTTTGAACTCAAGAGAAGTTGAACAGGCAAATTAAGGTCTGAGATATTTAATGATGCTTATATTATGGGACATTATATATGTAAAAATATATATTTCAGGTATATTCTAAAATGTTGCTCCATATTTTGACAACCTTTGGTTTTTTATGTAAAAAAGCATCAATATTAAAACCATACTTGGAAAGAATGAAATAGCATACACAAAGCATAGTACATTTTCCATCTGGAAAATATTATTACATATGTTTATATTACTGAAAAATAAAAACAAATACATACAAAATACCCCAACCAAACAAAAAAATTAAAAAAGCTTCATGCTTTTGAAACATTCTAGTGGACTATTGCTTAAAACATAAAATGTTAATAGCTCATGTTTTTGCTTTATATTTCAGAGACCATCTTTGTTCTAGGGCTTTATATTAATTACTTTCCAGGTAATTTTCATAACCACTCTAAACCATAACCTTTTCAAGTTAAAAAAAAAAGAAAAGAAAAAATAATTATGTAGTAAACTTTTAAGAAATCTTTCTTAGTAAATGTAATTCATGACCTGGTGACCATTAAATGTTAAGCAGATATCATCCACATATAATAAAATGTGGCATCTAAGACCCAAATAGCTATGGAGATCATATGCTCAGTTACTGTTCCATGTATATAGTTCTTTGTCCTCTATTTCAGCTACCTAAGAATTTGGGAAAATACATATTCAGGGGGCACCTGGGTGGCTCAGTCGTTAGGCGTCTGCCTTCAGCTCAGGTCATGATCTCAGGGTCCTGGGATTGAGCCCCGCATCGGGCTCCCTGCTCCACAAGAAGCCTGCTTCTCCCTCTCCCACTCCCCCTGCTTGTGTTCCCTCTCTCACTGTGTCTCTTTCTGTCAAACAAATAAATAAAATCTTTAAAAAGAAAAAAAGAAAATACATATTCAGGCAGATATGTCCTCCTACATGCAATTTCTGCACATTTCCAGGAATATATCTAAACACATTTTAAGAGTCAGGATAGAGTATGTTTTAGCGTGTGGAAGAATAACATGCAAATATCAGTAGCTTTTAATGAATATTTCCTTCTTGTTCTTGCTACATGGCTCAGAATTCTGCACTATACACTCATGGATCCTGGGGGAAATGCTCCGACATCCCAATATATGCTTCAAGTATCCATAGTGAAGGGGAAGTGAGATCTGGGAAGTTGAGTACGACTCACATCCAGTCACATTTCATGGCCATAACTTACTGGATGGCTATATCCAAATTCAAAAGGTCAGAAAGGTAGAATCCTCTCCGTACATGGAGGCAGAGGAAAACTGAATAATGGCCAGTATTATTAATTTTATTCTCTTCATTGACAAGTCATACCTTTCTCACTTTTTACAATTGGATTTGTGTGATATTATTAGAAGAAAAAAGGAGAAAAAATAAGAAAGTGATAATTTTGTGCTTTTCAAAGTCACCCCAATGATAATTTTCTGGTTTGACAAATGTAATGATGCCACCATTTTAGCACCCTCATTTGATAAGCTCTCAGTCTCTCAACTTATGATTTAGTAGTTACTACATGGTGACTGAAATTTATTAGGAAGTATGACAAGTAAAGTACAATATTTATGTCAACCATTTCTAATCATCTTTTGCAATTAGAATGAATTTTAAAACAAATACAATGTATGTTCTAAAAACCAAGTGTTCAGAAGCATGGTGTATTCATTTCATCTTTCCTTTGGTCTTTCAACAATATAGTAGTGAGTGTCTACTGTGGTAGATATTATAATATAAGATGCTGGTAAAACAAAGGTGAAATCAGATATTATCTCTGTCTCATATGGATTACATGAGCGGGGGAAGATTAAAATTAATCAAATGACCGCACAATATTAACTGTAGCTGAATGGAAGCTAGAGATACTTTCCAGAAGAACTATTTGATGAGATTTAACATATAAAGAGAAACTAACCAGAGAAAGGTGGGAGAGAGATTTTATTTGACTCCATTGAAGAGGGAAATATTATACATGTAATAAAAATGGAAGAAGCCACTGTGGATGGAGGGCAGGGAGGAAAAGTGATTTTGGAGCTTGGGCCAAGATGAAATGGTTGCCATGGAAAAGTGATTGGATTCCAAAGGACTAGGTAATAATTGAACTGGGGGCTAAAAGTGAAGAATCACTCCTAGCTGTTGTGGAAAATGAACTGGCCTTAGATTCAAGCGGATTTTGCTCCACGTTTTCTTGCTCTTTTCCTGGACAAATGTATTGACTTCTGGAGCACCAATTTCTTATGGACATAATGGTGATGATGACATTTACCTTATATAACTATTGTTAACATGACAGAGAATGTCTTATGTATCCTGCCCATTCCAGACTGTGTTAGAGATCTCCAGAAAATAGACACCAGCATGGAATATGGCTTGCAAGAAATTTATGATGGAAAACATTGGTGGAGGATAAAAGACGAGTGAAATTCAAAGAAGACAGAGACTGCAGACTGTGATGACACGTAACACATATGCAAGAAGAGGGACAACAAGAGAATTGAATAGAAAGACTCTAACTGCAGCGCAGTTCCAAGAAAAGGTTCAGCCATAGTAATGGTAGTTTTGGAGCCAAAGTTTCCCGGTAAAGGATCCCATGCCTTTCAGGAGTAGGCTTGCAGTACCAACCCCTACAGTACTCAAGTCAGTATGTGGAAGAAGCCTGTAAGAAACGTAGTTTCAGCACGAACATATGGTGAATCCAGAGAGTCAATAGCTTGAACATCGGTCAAGCATGGTACCCACAAGATGATTTGAATTGCATATTTTCAAGGCTGCCATTATCCACCCCTTGTGCAATGTAAATATAATTTACTCCACAAGTTGATGGAGTTTTTTCTCTATGGTTCCCATGAGCTTCACTTTCTAAGGGGAAATGGTGAAGGAGAAGTCTTGTAGGACAAGCTACTCCATCTTTGCTACAATTGGTTGCAGGGCTACAACTGGTACTCATCTATCTCTCTATTATCCATTCTAAATCCCTCTCACTCTAACCCTCAGCTATCTCCTTGGCAAGTCCTGATGGCTTTTATGGTCCTGGGGCCCAAACCTTTATTACTAAAGTGTCTGAGTCCTTGGGAATCATGCATCCTCAAACCAGGCTTGCTATACGTGTCCTTTTATAGTTCCAGTGGTGTAAGTGGATACCAGGAGGCAACTGCAGGAATCACATGGGTTCCATACTTATTCTTCCCTGTCCCCATTGTGTAAAAGCAGTCACATCTGCTCCTTGTGATCAAGGTCCTTTACCCTTGTGATGACAATAACTCTTCTTACCTGCTGGTCCCTGAACACAAGGACTCTAATGTGCCTTAGCAACAGCCATAGTTTGTAGTCCACTTGAGCACTTCTGTGTCCCCTGGCAAAAGTACACCTCTCTGGGGACTAGGACTTTCAACCATGTAAACTCTGAGGGCAAGAAGCACAGACCACTCCATGGGTCATTAAGATTGATCGTAAATGAAGCTAGTTCTGCTTCTACTCCTTGGCTGGTGGACCCATATATTTGTCCATTGTGGATACATCCTTATATAAAGGTCTCTAATTTAATGCATTATACTCTATCTTAAAGGATGTTATCCTATTCTTTCAGAGGGTTGCCTCTGAGTTCGCAGTTCAGTTGTACCATTCCAGTTCTCTATAAGGCCAACTACTTCTGGATGGCACAATATTTTATTCTACCAGTGGATCCCATGATCGCATGGCTGTGTTTGCTCTCACATATCTCCTTCACTGTAAAGTAGATTATCTGACTAGATGCTATGTTTTGTGCATTACATCCTTATGGAATAGACATTCCATAAGACCTCATAGAGTGCTGCTGATTATGGATCTGTGGGCAGGAAAGGCATTCAATACACAAAATATTTATGTATTCCTCTGTGTATTTACTGCCAGCACTTCTACTAAAGAATGTGTCCCATTATAGCCTTATTTTCTGCCCCCATGATCATTTTGTTCATGTGCCCATTGTGCCAGTCCAGAGTATATAAGGGTGATGATTCACTAGTATTTATTGGTCAAGTCATTTTGCCCAATTTGTTGTTCAATGCCTGTTGTTTTCTGGATGATTGCTCCTGGCCATTAATATATAATACAAAAATTTTCATTCTCTGTGCCCAGTCGCAATGTCCATCCACTGATGGATCCATCCAGGCCCTGATCAGATAACCAAGCCATTGGCCATTGCCCAAGAGTCTCTGTTTCTATCTCTGTTTCTGTGTCTCTATCATGCCCTCTTCTTGGGCCACTTACCTTTCTAAATAAAATAAATGAGCAGTGCAATGCTTGCAATTCTAACTATTGGAAATATTGTCATTCTCCATTGTCTTCCAAGGGCACTACCTTTTTTTCAGCTTGCACCCACATAGAAAGCTAAACCATCTATAAACCAACTTTGCTCATTTTCCTTTCCTTCAGCTATTTATAGATACTACTAATTGCAGTTGTCCACATTTATTCTCCAGATCCTCTCACCTTCTACAGGTAACAAATGGCAAAATAAATGTATATATGATAGGTATTAGTATCTCAGCATCATTGACATTTTTAATCATGGCACTAAAATCCACCATTTTCCCTTTCTCCTTCCAGGACACTTCATTGTTTTGGATTTATATTTTGGCCAGTGTGTGAGGGGGCACGGTTTCGGAGATTTCCACTTGGGCTTTTCCCACTACAATAGCTTTTACTCCATAGACCAAGAACCAAATGTGGCAGCTATTCCAACTGTCAAGTATGTCAATTCCAATTATACACTAAAGACCAGAGAAATAAGCACTGGGTGAGTCCATGAATTCAGTGGGCCTAAAAGGCCATTCTTTTTATATCATACCATGATGTCTGCCAATTGTGCATCTAATAATGATGGTAGTGTAATAAACAGATCTATGAATGGTACTAAATGATGTCATTGGTGCCCAAAGAATCATACACACTCAAAAATTATTGGCTTTTTTCCTGTGAGCAAAAAAATTTAACTGGCCTGCTATTCTAAAAGGAGGTTGATTTTATGCCTTAGGTCTTCAGGTATTACTAAAATCAAGCTCTTTTTCCCTCAGTGTTTGTAATGCCTGGTTATTCTCTTGTTCCCACTGTAAACACCTGGTCAAATGCCCATAGGTCACTTTGCAGTAGACTGGAGGAATTATTGGAGTACACACTTGCGGTTGTGTTGCAGGGCCTTTCCTCCTAGGGACCCAGATACTTCTCCAGTCAGAGTTTTGGATGTAAAAATTAAGTTTGGTCTAGGTATTGAGCAAGGGATTATGACTTTTCATCAAGAGAACTACCTTCATGCTCCTGATCTATTCTCACCTTTTCCTAGTTATAGCTGTTAAGCACCAGCCATCTATTTCTTTCTTTCTTTCTTTTATTTTTTTTAAGATTTTATTTATTTATTTCACAGAGAGAGACAGAGAGAGAGGGAACACAAGCAGGGGGAGGTGGGAGAGGGAGAAGCAGGCTTCCCACCGAGCAGGGAGCCCAATGTGGGGCTTGATCCCAGGACTCTGGGATCATGACCTGAGCCGAAGGCAGACACTTAATGACTGAGCCACCCAGGCTCTCCATCACCCATCTATTTCACTCCTACTTGCCACCACACTCTATTATTTCCATAACTATGTGTGTCAAGCCCCTCCACCATGCCATAAAGTAGATACAGTATCCTGGCTTTTGACAGTTTAGCACTGTCACTTTTGCCACTTGGTTTCTATTATTCTAAGGCTATATTATCCCCATCAATATCATCAAACTAGGCTCTCTGATGGCTCTTTTGCAGAAAAGAGTCACAGTTGAACTTCTTTGTGATGCTGGCACTCCATTAATCAGTGCATTCTCATAGTATTGCTGAATAAATACTATGTCCTCTAGGCTTACCTGTGGAACATTGTCTTCTGTGAGTCTTCTGGACTCACAAATATATATATAGCCATCCCAGCATGTCTAATACTCTCAGTTCTTTATTGCTCTACCACCTGTCATGACAAGTCAAGGGTTTATACTTCATTCAGTGTTGACCATCACTTTTTCCACACTTCAAAAGCCTTCACAACAGTGAGTTGGCCCCAATTTGTGGGGTTTTTATTTCAGTATGAAATCTGATAACCTGAGAAAATGCCTCCAAATCAATAACTTTTTGTTTATCGAGTCTTACATTCTAGGTTAGGTGATCCAGTATGCTCTAAATAAGTCTCAGGGATACTTTTAGCTTCCATGAGGAATCTTTTTCTAATCATTGCACCTCTTTTGGTATATAGTTTCCTCCTTCTCTGCAAATCCATGGCTTAGTTTTCCTGGGATTTAACCTTAGTCAGCCTGGAAGCCAAGAGAGAAGATGGAGACAACTTCTGAGTGCAGCACCTGTGTAGCACTTTTTTTTTTTTTTTTTAAGATTTTATTTATTTGGGCACCTGGGTGGCTCAGTTGGTTAAGTGACTGCCTTTGGCTCAGGTCATGATCCCGCGGTCCTGGGATTGAGTCCTGCATTCAGCTCCCCCTGCTCTGCAGGGAGTCTGCTTCTCCCTCTCTCTCTGCTTGCCGCTCCCCACTGCTTGTGCTCTCACTCTTCTTGGGGAGAGACTTCTGTAGCATCTACTAGTGTAGGAGAAATTCTGGCTCTAGGGATTAGGTTGGCAACTTCTGAAGCTCTCAAGACAGGGACACTAAAGGGACCCCATGAAAGAAAAAGCTGTTTTGTTTTTGTTTTTGTTTTTGTTTTTTTCCTTGCTTCTTTTCCTGCTTCTATTCTTGCTAGGGCCCACACCTCCACCTTACACATGCCTTAATGTATGTCCTCCTGTAAAGGTAAAGGAGCTAATGATAATGATTTCTTTGGAGTCTTCCAGCACAATAGATAGTATCTAAGGAGTGACAAGGCAGGGTCCTTAAGAACATTCTCCAAGACCACTGACTCCAAACGCTTTGACGCCAAGACCCCGGGATCCAGGGCATAAGAAACTTATGGAGGACACCTGAGCATTCATGCTTTTTTGACCAGTTGCTAAACACCTGAGAGGACATGAACACCAGACCACCATCCTCCATAAAAACTCCAGACCCCAAGCAAAGACAAGACTCATGCTCCTCTTCCTTTCTGAGTCTCCCGGATGCTTGCTCCATCTGTATCTGCTCTCTCCACATCTCCAGTACACTCTGCTCTCATTTCTTGTGGCTCGTGTTTGATTTGCATCCTGCCTGAAGCCAAGGACCCTCTTTGGCTGGTCTGCAGAACCCTCTCTGTGTCCTCAGACCTGGCCTGCCTACATGACACTGAGGGTTTAAAAGATCTCTGTAAAGCTCACATCTTTTGGTACATTCATCTAGATAGCTTCATCCCATGTTACTTGGTCCCAAGTTCTAACAATAAGGGTCTGAACGTTAGCATAATGACCTACTTTGGTTGGAGATTTAAATGTCACATTAGCTCAGTTACTCTTATCTGGACCTCAGTCTGCTGGTCAGCTGTTTCTAGTCATCCATTTCAGGTGATAAGTGCCTCTTTGTAAGTTACTAAAGCAACTCCTTGACTTTCATGTGTAGCCTTTAGCAGCTAATTAATGACCTTCAGTTTCTCACTACCCCTCTACAATGTATCAACACAGGTCAGCTGTAACCATGGACTCTATCCCTGTAGGTATTACTTTCTTCTATGAATCTGTGATTTACGATGAGAAATACTTAACAGCTGGTCTTCATCTTTTCTGGCAAAGAGCTCCTAAAAACAAGGAATTTCTTAAGTAATGGGAGTGATCAGGGTGTCCTTTGTTATGTTAATAAGGAGACTTTTGGACTCCACTTAAGGATGGGGGCTGGTTGCTAGAAAAACCAACCACATGATTAGAGAGTTGGAAGTTTCAGTCCCACCCTCCTGACCTCCAGGGTGGGGAGAGGAGCTGGCAATTGAGTTCAATCACCAGTGGATATTGATTTAATTAATCATGTCTATGTTATGAAGCCTCCATAAAAAGCCCAAAAGGATGGGGTTTGGAGGGCTTCCAAGCTAGTGGACGCATGGAGATTTGGGGGAAGTTGCATGCTTGGAGGGAGCTCTGAGCCTGTTTCCCCCTATCCTGATCTACGCATCTCTTTTCATCTGGCTGTTATATAGTAAGTAACGTTTCTCTGAGCCACTCTAGCAAATTAAATCCAAGGAGGGCATCCTGGGAGCTGATATCTGATGGGTCAGAAGCACAGATAATAAACTGGGCTTGGGATTGGCATTTGAAATGGGGACAGTCTTGTGGGACTGAACCCTTAACCTGTAGAATCCGATGTTATTTCCAAGTAGATAGTGTCAGAATTGAGTTGTATTGTAGGAACCCAGATGGTAGCAGAGCATTGCTTGGTGGGGGCAGTGGGGGAACTGCACCTCCCAAGCACATATATTGAAAATCAGAACCCATTTACCCCGTATGTTTAAAAAATTTGGAATCATCGTGTCTATTAGAGAATTTCCCTCCTCGTGGACTTTTTCAGGTCACCAACAGTGAAATCTTTACTAATGGAAACATCACCAGCTGGGGCCTTGCTAACTTCATGTTAGCATGCCTGTTTTCTCAGACCACTCCTTGCAATGCTTCTGTTTGTATGGTTCCTCTGAGAAGCATATGCCAAGATAAAATTAGATACATGAGTGAATGATTGCAAGAAATGTGGGTTAAAGATAAAAATAAGGGAAAAGAAGAAGGTGTGGACAGCCTTTAGCTGCAAAGCTGCAATGATGCTGAATAACAGCAGGGGAAAGGAGGTTTGAATAGAGTCTCAGAGTGCAGTGCATATTCAAGAAAGGTTTTGCAAGACCAGCTGGGGGCCCTTGAGCTGAAGTCACTCATCAGGTAAGTCCCACATCTCAAAAGATGTTCCTCATTTGTACCCCAGAGTGCTCATTCATTGGCTGGAATCAACCCAAACAAGCATTGCCTGGGAGTGAATGTGATGAGAATCTAGAGGGACAGCAGATATATCCCTCAATTATGCAGGGCATCCAAGTGGGGGCATTTCCAGGTCTGCTACACAGGCTCTCAATACACAGTAGCTATTAAGTTCTTAAAAGTAAGCATTTTCAGGTGCTGCAATTTATCAGGTCCTTGAGAAGCAAGATTAGCATATTGACCATTGGTAGGTAGTAATTTAAGTAAGCCTCACTGGCAAAATGAAGTTTGGCTTTTGACATGTTTAATCGGTTCAACTGTTTCAAATATTTTGATCAAAAAATCTACTTGTGACTATATCTACAATAGTAAGTAAACATTTATTGTTAGAAAATGTTACTGCCAAGGAGAAAATCACAGAGGTCCTTTAGCAAAACAATTGAATCAGCAGCTGTGTACATACCTGACTGAGGTCAAATATCAAATAGTTTTTAGTGATACTCATTTAAATGAATAAACAGTATTCAACAATTCAGAAATTAATGTGACACCCTTTTTCTTTCCTTAAAGATCACGCTGCAGTTAAAACACAATTCCATTAAGAATATATATAAACAGGTGGAGTCAATGGATCCTATATATATTTTGGTTCATAATCCATAGCAAATTGTAGATAGCCATACACTACCATGGCCCAGTTTTGAAGATTATTGAATCATAGAGACCAATGGTTATTTTCCTCAGTGACTTGTGTGACCACTTTGGTTTCCCACAATTCTGCATATTGCAAGCCATATTTTTTAAGCAAATAAAATCTGAATATTCCTAAAATATTTGAATAGATTCCTAGACTTTAAAGAGGAACACTAAAGTCCTTGACATTACCTTCACAGTTTAATGCTGTGTGGCC